TACTTCCTAATAAATTGACGCCTACGTTTATGGACATTGAATATGATGTGCTTAGAAGGAACGGGAATGAGTTGACTCTTATCGGGAATTATTATTCGGGAAGAGTTATTAAGCGAAATGTGACACACATAAAAAAGATCCCAGTAACAACATCTACTGTTCCAGTCATGCCCACAGAAGAACTTATGGCCATCATTGTCAACACAACCAGCCGTCCTGGAAGAAGCGCCGCAAACACCACTCGTCCCAGGGCTTGAACCGACAACCCAACCACCTCCGATCCATCTTTTAAAATTTGTTAAAGAGGGAGGGATGTGGAGACCTGCACGGACGGATTGACTCACCGGTTTCGGGTGTTACGCAACCGACTACACAGACACACGACACGAACACCAATGATTCAGTATTGATACGATAACGCATTAGTTAAGACGAATTTAATTGTTCTAGTTTATGTATATTAATAAAGTTAAAGTGTATAAGACAAGAGAGTTTAAATACAACCCTAGGCTACCACAGATATTATATCACACATTTAAATCTTTAATATTTAATTATTGTTTAATTCTTTTAACTTCGTTTATTATATTTACCAGTCGTAAATAAGTTAAGTAGCTAGAGGTCCATTTATAATTAGGCCACTTAGGGGGCACTTGAGTATCCAGGTGCATCCCTTGTTTCATAAAGGTTTCCAAAAGTTCCTTATGTCAACTTTACCTTTAACCCTTAGTGGACCTGAGAGAAAAGGATGTAACCTTGAAATTAACTTGAAATTACTCACATTCGTTATACCTGGATGCTTCATTACACTTTGTTGTACCTGGATGCTCGAATGAACCGGGCTTATACTTCTGTACCTACTTAACTTATTTCGTATTCACCTGAAGATATCGAAACGTCGTAATTAAAAATACCAAGGCAATGGAATTTGATAACCATTCTTTGATACGCATATAATACATATATATTATACAGTGTAGGTATATACAGGAGCCCAATGAAACAGTAAGCACTGATTTTTTTAAAAACGCAAAGGCACGTAACTTTGGTTTTGAGAAGGACATCTTTTGCAATAGATTTCACTTACAAACCACTTTACCCCTTTGCAGTGTTTACAACCCCTAAAATTTTAAATTCAAATTATATCGATTAGTTTACAAGATATATATGGGGCAAAATTTACCAAGTGTAAAAGGTGAAAAAAATTTTGTCACCGATTTTGTTTAAACTTTACTTATTTGTTGTTCTTATAACGAAGAATCATAGCATAAATTTTTTTTGCTCTAGGATTGTTCATTCAAGAGTTATGGATTATTGAAATTTGTCGATTTTTTACTTTTTGGTGAAATCGCTTTTTATTTAAAAATTCATAACTTCTGTTCATCTCTTTATTAAATATTTCAATTTAACCACCTTAAATGATTTTTTCCGTACTTTTCAATGGGCTATACCGTTTTTGCAAAAAAAAAAATTGCAATTTTTTTTTGAAATTTTGCAAAGTTTTGCATTTTTTGAAACAATGTGTATTTTTTATTTTTTTTTAAAATAGCATAAAATCCAAGTTTATTATGTTACCTTTGAATAAAAAAAAATTTAGAGTGGGCTCGACATGTAGAAGGGAAGTTTTTCAAATTTGAATGCCATCGAATAGCTACTACACAGCCGTATGCGTTTATACCTAGTAGATGCGAGTAAACAAATACAAAATGATAATTTAAAATGTAAAATTATGTTTGAGTAGTCATTGAGGTATTTTAAATATTTACACTGCCGCACGATATAGTTTTTTAACTGTATTTTTTTGCACAAATTGTTTAAGCATGGGTCTACATAGATTTCGCAAGGAGGATCGATGATATTAAATAAAAAAATTATTGTTATAACCGTAACGGCTTGCCTATAAGCTGAATGGCGCCTTTACGGTTATAACAATACATTTTTTATTTAATATCATCGACCCTCCTTGCGAAATCTATGTAGACCCATGCTTAGCAATTTGTGCAAAAAAATACAGTTTATATACAAAAGTGCTCTTTTAGTTCCACCCTTACTTCTTAAGAAGCCCCATAAGCCAACTGAATGGCTTGTGCGGGTTAGGGGTAGGAACGGACCGCGGGCTTAAAGTCCCCTCAGAAGGACTAACACACAATAAAAAAAACGATATATCGTGCGGCAGTGCAAAAATTTAAAATACAGCATTGACTACTCAAACATAATTTTACATTTTAAATTATCATTTTGTATTCGTTTACTCGCATCTACTAGGTATAAACGCATACGGCGGTGTAGTAGCTATTCGATGGCTAGACCGTGCGGCATTCAAATATGAAAAACTTCCCTTCTACATGTCGGGCCCACTCAAAAATTTTTTTTTATTCAAAGGTAACATAATAAACTTGGATTTTATGCTATTTAAAAAAAAATTAAAAAATACACATTGTTTCAAAAAATGCAAAATTTTGCAAAATTTAAAAAAAAAATGCAATTTTTATTTTTTTGCAAAAACGGTATAGCCCATTGAAAAGTACGGAAAAAATCATTTAAGGTGGTTAAATTGAAATATTTAATAAAGAGATGAACAGAAGTTATGAATTTTTAAATAAAAAGCGATTTCACCAAAAAGTAAAAAATCAACAAATTTCAATAATCCATAACTCTTGAATGAACAATCCTAGAGCAAAAAAAATTTATGCAATGATTCTTCGTTATAAGAACAACAAATAAGTAAAGTTTAAAAAAAATCGGTGACAAAATTTTTTTCACCTGATACACTTGGCAAATTTTGCCCCATATTAGGGTGTTTATAAAAAAACTAAAATTAGTTTTTTTCCAATTGTGTTAAAAAATTAATGGTACATTAAAAAACAAAAATTTTGGCGCATATTTGAGCTCTTAATATTAATATTAAGGTTTGCCTCAATTCATTTGTTGTTTTTCAATTTCTATAACACGAGAATTTTTATATTTTAAATTTAAATTCTTATAACTTTGGAATGGTTTGTTTTCGCAACACCCAAGCTGGAGGAGTTATAGACAATTTCACGCTCTACAAAAAACATCTGAAGGTCAAAGTTCTTCAGGTCAACCGTTTCAATAATATCATCGATCAAAAATAACACTAATAATAAATTTCAAATATTTTCAAACATTGTATATATATATGTACCTTTATATAAATAAAAAAAAAGTTTACAGTCTTAGGTTAACAGAATTAGAGTGATTTTACATAAAAAATAAAATAAATATGGCATTTGATATTTTTTTGTATTTTATTTGAAAATATTTAAAATATTTTATTAGTGTTATTTTTAATCGCTGATATCTTTGAAACGGTTGACCTGAAGAACTTTTACCTTCAGATGTTTTTTGTAGTGCGTGAAATTGTCTATAACTCCTCTCGCTTGAATGTTGCGAAAACAAACCATTCCAAAATTTTAAGAATTCAAAATTTAAAAAATAAAAATTGCCGTGTTATTGAAATGGAAAAACAACAAATGAATTGAGGCAAACCTTAATATTAATATTAAGGGCTCAAATATGCCCCAAAATTTTTGTTTTTTAATGTACTATTAATTTTTCAACACCATTAAAAACAAAAATAATTTTAATTTTTTTTTAAACACCCTAATATATATATATATATATATATATATATATAGTTGTAACAACTCATAGTGTGGGAGTGCTCCATCTTTTTAGAACATTAAATGGTTGTTCGAGTAGCTGTTACTATTTTCAACAATATTAACCAGTAAGAGATAAATAACATCTTCTGGTAATTCCAAATACGTTTCTCCTGTCAGGTTACCAGCGAGACCAACTTTCGACGTTGTGTCCTGAATTTTTTTACAGTTGTGATTGTTATCCTTACCCGTTAATTCGTATGCAATCTTTAGTTTTAAAAAATCAGTGATTTACCCCTCGGGTTACCATAAAGAAATATGGGTCCAACTAGACGATCTTCTAAAATACCTGTTTTTGAGGAGTTTGAGAGCGGACTTTATGGAAAACCCTTGGATTTGCATCTGACCAGTAACGGCAATTATGGCGATTGACGGTTGAGTTAAGAAAAAGCGTACACTCGTCTAAAAAACATATGTTTAAAAGCAAATTATCATTATTAGCTATTCGTTCAGTCATAGTTTTGCAAAACTCCAGTCGCCGGTCAAAATCATTCCCATTTAATTCATGGACTAAATCTTGTAAGGACGAAATTTATGAGATCTAAGGATCCGTTCGATGGTCGTTTTGGAAATGTTAGTTACCGTAGGTAATTTTTTCGTGCTCAAAGTTGGTTCAGCAACATCTTGTCCTAAAACTCCTACCTCAGCAGATTCATTCCAGACAGCACATTTAGGTCTGTTTTTATGTTTCCTACTGATCCTGTTTTGCCACCAACTCCAAAACGAATATTCCATTCACGTGCCTATCCGAATGGTGTTCATTGAATAAATCTACTGCACGATTTTCGCACTCAATATTAAAAAAAAAGTGATCATATCAACTATTTTCTATATTGCAAACCATTGTTGAATGAAACTGAATTAATTTTGTTTAATTAAAAAAGTCCTAAAGGCTGATTAAACAGTTTTTATACACGATTTTTTGTCAAAATATTTATCTGTACTTTTTTATTTCAATAAGAAACGTAGTGAGCGGTTGCCACTTCAACGTAAAATATCTCAAAAACGAATCGATAGGATTGGATTTTTTTATTCCCGATACTAAGTGGAGACTTTCCAAATAAGGCATCACTTGGCACATCATGCCGATTAAAATTTTAGGGGTTGTGACCACTGCTCGAAGGGGTGAAGTGATTTGCAAGTGAAATCTATTGCAAAAGATGTCCCCCTCGAAACTCTTAGGCTAACGTGTCTGCGTTTTTTTTTTAAATTTTGTTTTGTTTTTAAGAAGTTAATTCATTTTGTTTAAAGTTAAAATATAAAATATCATTTATTATTAAAATTGTTAAACAGTGACGCAGTATCACTAAAACTCACCTGTCCTAAATATTTCGGATTCTGGATAATTGGGGGTTTGTACTTCAGTGGGTGGTTCCCTTTCAACTGCGCATCTTTCTTCGCAGTCTCTTTGATTTTCAAAGTTATTTTTATTTCCACCACAACCTCCATAATAAAATTGACGACATTGTTTTTCTTTTGTATCAAAGTACCAACGACCTGTGTAGTTTGAGCATTCCCCTGTTTCAGCAGGTAAGTGACATGTATCTTTGACTAAAAGATATAGGTAGTATGATTTTTTCGTTTTATATCTGGTTCATATTTTATTTAACTTTGACTAACTAAGCTTTAAAAAAGTATACGTTTGGTCCAAACTTGTTAATAGAAAATTAACTTATTATTACGGTTTGGTCGCGAGTTAATCAGCGAAGTGGAACAATTCTAGAAAGAAAAATACTTGTAAAACGTAATAATATTAAATTTTTTTAATGCATTACAATAGGGACATATTTCGTTCTACGAATGATACAATTAATTTTGAAGTTTTTAGATTTGTTGCACTTAGCTAGTAAAGCTATATATTAAAAAATATACCTCATCCGACAAACTTACCACCTACTCATACTATTAGCTATAAATCTGAATTTTAATAATAGATAAGAAACTAAAACTTACTTGAAGTATTATTTCGATAATAAGCCAAGAGTAAAAAGAGACTAATTTAGTTTTAAATTTATTCCTTTATTACCTACATAAGTAAATTAACTAACTAACTGTTATATAAACTTACCAATTTCTAGTGGACAATCTCTTTCACATGCATCTTTATTATCAAAATTATTTGGATTACCGTTACAACCAGAGTAGTAAAATGGAATACAACGTTTTTCAGGTGTATCATAATACCATTTTGGCTCCTTTTGAGTACAGTTACCCTGAGCTCTTGGTAAAGAGCAGTGATCTAATAACCATTAGTAATTAGTAATTACAAACATGCAACGTTAAAATATAAGAAGAAAGTAAAAACTAGATTTCCATGCTTGTAAAATAATATTTTATTTTATAAATACAGTCAATGTCAATATTATATTTAGTTGGTATAAAGGTGTTTTATTAAAATAAAAAGAAAAACGTTTTGAAATTTTTGACATACTTAGACGTTGATGATCTGCAGACCCCCAGGAATCCCAGAAAATTGTTTAAAAAATTCTACTTTCATTATTTAAAAAACATGAGTTTTTAAACCTAAAATATTAGGTTTACCTAAATTATATTGTTTCAAGTCTTATTATATAGATTAGGTCTAATTTACAGATTGTTTAAACCACAGACCAGATAGACTGAACGATGCCTATTCCTTATCATTGAATCAAGTGAAGCCGCTTTCGCGGAGTGCGGGGAAAGGTATGCGAAAGGCGTGACTATGTTTTCACTAGAGTTGTCTTCAGTTTATTTACGATTTATGTCTCGTAGAAGAGTTTTATTTATAATATTTTTATATTATATAAGTAATATTTTATACATTATTAATATAATAATTATAATTAGTATTGTTAATATTTATTATGATCAGATAAATGCAAAATAATTTACACAATAATAATTTGTTAAAATATCAAACGATATATTTAAACATTTTAAATAAACAAATTTTGTTCATAAATTTTTTAATAAATAAAAAAATATATTATGCTTACCTCGAGGCTTACCTTTATTAAATGCCTATTTCTATTTTAAATAAATAAAACCAAATAATAATAAATTAAAAATTTATTTTATTTAGGTAATACATATTTTAATAATTTTAAATATTATTATTATTGTCCTTTAAACAAAAGGGCTTTATTTAAAAGTTGGCGCTTAGTAATTCTGCAATTGTTAAAAATGTTTGAATCATATTTTAAATATTTCAGAAACGGTTGAATTTAGTACTTTCATATATGATATGTTATATGATATATGCTTAGAATTTTACAAGGAATCGAAAAATAAATACATGGAATTGAAAAAAAATAAACTTTTTGTTTTTCCCTGTATACTGATCAATTTTACAATTTTCTTTATGCTTAGAAAAAAGTATTTTTTAGTACCTACATAACTTTTAATTTTTTTGGGACGCTTAAAAAAGTTAAAGTTATAGGGGATCACCCTGTACCTCAGAGGTAAAGTGTATTAACTAAATTGTTCAGGAGAAGTCAAAAATGTTTTAAAACTCATAATTATTTCTAGTTCTTACATTTAATAACTGATCATCATGACATTAGTTTTTAAATATTAATATCTATGATTACTTGACTAGTGGATAACGCAGTACTAAGTAATTTTTTTATAAATATCTCATTTTCGATAATATTGTACTACAGTTTACCTCTCAGGTACAGATTTGCAAAACCCATTTTATATTTGCCTGAATGAATTTAATTTACGAAGTCAATAAAGAAAAGAAAATATATTGAAATTTTAAATGTCTTTCAAACTAATAATACCAAGTTAATAAATTTTTATAGTTATTTTAAATAAAGATCTTTAGGAAAAATAAAATTATTTACAAAAACAATGAACCAATTTATTTATAAAAACAATGAAACTACAATTGATAATGAATATTTTTAGTGAATGAAAACTTAAAACTTTATTATTACATGAAATGGTTAATATATTTAGTATTTATATTCCTTGGCGAATTTTAAATATACCTAAATGACATACAGCCTGTTTAGAATAAAACCGAATATATCTATATATATATATATATGGGGCGTGGCCTCGCCTCCCTCCAAGGCGCGTCACAGTTGCTTGTGTAATAAACGACATGACGAAAGGTCGAGCAGGTAAAATTAAATGATAATAATGCAAAAAATCTCATTAGCGATGCAGTCTATTTGCTTAGCTATATTCGGTTTTAGTCTGAAAGAGCTGTATAAAAAACATAAAATACAACAAACAATGGTAAACATACACAAAAAGACCTTTCTCCGAAATTAATTGGGCTCGAAATTTACTAATTCAACTCTGATTTTCCTCGACGCAAGCCAATTTAATAGCGGAGGAAAGCGCGATTTCTGCAATTTTATATATTTAATTTCTACTTACATAAAGAAATTAACATAATTTTTTTCGTTGTATTTGGTCTCAGTTCTATTTTCACATCCTATCACTACACATTTACCCATGATTTTAAAATAAATACAAAAAATATCACGACGTGAACGTGGTCGATTTATAACTGAGAAAAATCGCGATCGCTGGGCCTGTATAGGCCTGTACCCGGCTTCAACTGCATCGCTCTTACGTTCAGTCTATGTGGTCTGTGGTTCAAACAATGGTTAAATTAATGTTTCATCTAATAAAAAAATGCATTTTAAGATTTTTACTTTAACAATACTCGTGCGTTTGGCAACATAATGTGCAACAAATAATAATCACATCTATATATATTACCCAAGAGCCATATCAGGTCAAAATTAGGCTTAAAATTGCCATTTCGCCTGGGGAAATGTTTTGCTAATAAATGTACAAAATACGAATTTATATTACCAAGTTTCTTGTGCAATCGCGATGGCCAACAATAAACGATCAAATCGTGCCCAATAAATGCCAAAGCAGGTTGGGTTAACTTAAGTTAGGTAGGTTACCATTGGTTTAATTTTTGGAATGTTTGGAAATTATACCATTGGTAACCCACCTAACTTAAGTTAACCCAACCTGCTTTGGCATTTGTTAAATGGACAAACGATGCCACATTTTTGACGTTTATTTGGGCCAATATTTGAACAAACTCAAGTATTTTCAAATATTAGTGGTAGAATATTACTTGAAAATTTTTTTTGAAGCTTCATCTCGTTTATATTGAATTCTTTTAATTTTTGGAAACATATACGTTCCAAATATATTTAGTATTCAATATATGAGTCCATTATTTGCAAAACTCGCTAATCGACAAAACCTTAAAAATTTGTTTTTCTATGCAAACATATTTAAATTTTAACGAAAATTTCAAAATTAAAATCGAACATTTGCAAAAATGCCTTTAAACCATGCAAATATTGTATAGAAAATAACGGTTATATGCAAAACTGTCTCTCTTTTTTGACGTCTCACTTGCAAAACTCGTTCTTTGCTCTGCCGCCAATCAAATTAAACGCTCGTTTCCCACGTGATAAACACGTGCTTTTGTCTTTCTTCAATGGCTCCGGAAATTACCACTTGGGAAAAACTGAAAGGGTATAAAAAGACTATTATTGGTCTCCTTGCAAAACATTATGGAGAAAATTGGACCAGCCTTTCAGAACTAGATTTTTACAAAGAACACTTGCAGAAAGGTTCTTTAGCCCGCTGCACAACAGCCCGGTAACGGGAACGGGAACCTAAACGGTGGGAGAGACTCAGCGAACCCTATTTATCAACAGTGTTTTTTTAGTCTCTCCCACCTTTAATGTTATATTCCCGTTCCCGTTTCCGTTACAGGGCTATTGTGCAGCGGGCTTTACTCTTCCTCGGTAGAAGAAACCGTTGATGCTTTGAAACGCTGCCAAAATGCCGAGGATGACTCCTATTTTGTTCCGAAGAGTTTCCATTTGTTTTTTAATGTTTATAAGTACTTACTACGTACGTACATCCTATTTTGTATTAATAAAAATAAAACAGTTATTTTTTCCTCAATAAATCCATTGCCTTCGTTATTAAACTTTTTTTAAATTAGATTTATTTTTAAAACTGGCTATATGCAATAAACATTAATTTTTTTCTAAAAATTTGTAACTCTTTTAGGATGCAAACTTCTACTTTCCACTTCTATAAATCTTAAGCAACAATTATATATTTTTTTGAATGCGAAAAAAGCAGTATACTAACGTTAGTCGTTTATTTTAATTTCCCAAAAAAATGCATTTCAGCAAATAGCAAGTTTTGCAAATAATGAACTCATATTTAGTATTCAAAACTTTAATCGACATTTAAAATTTAAAATTAGATTTTTAGCATTTCCTTTAGTAATAAATACTTACTGAGTTTGTATGTTGTATTTGGAGAATGCTCAGAGGCTGATTAAATGCCGAGAGCGCCCTAGGCAACCACCTTATCGGCGCCCCTCTAGTGGTCATATATTATAATTTTTAACTAGTACTTATATAATATTAGCTGCGTTTATATAATATTATATAATAATATATAACTAATAAGTAATAATATAATACTTATATAATATTAGCTGCGTCCCGCAGTTTCACCCGCGTGATGACCCATTTCGTGGAAATTTCTGGATAAAATATGTAAATCTAGGTCTCCAGCTATCTACACACCAGGTTTTATCACATCGCAGTTATAATATTATAAGGGTAAGTACACGTGTCCTGGGCTATAATTATAATTAGGTTCATGCCAGGACGAGTACTTACTCTTAGGCGTAAATAAAATGTGATGAGAGTGAAGAAAGCAAAAGGGACAGAACCAACATGGAAATCCATGGAGCCTCTTTGGGAAACAATGTATGTATGTATGTGTGTTGACAGTTTATGGTTTGTTATATCATTCTCATTAATTATGTAAAAGCTTAAAAAAAAAATTAATACTTGAAACCTAAATAATAAAATTAAAGTTATGAATTATGTATTTAAAAGTTACCAATTTTAAATTGGTCCTAATCACATTCAATGACAATTGAGTGGATGAGCAGTAGTTCATCAGTATACTATAGCCTATAGGTGACATACTGAACTTCGCCTTTTGCATTTAAATGTATTTTTTTTTACTATATGTAAATGTTTATTATTTACTTACAATAAAGTCATATTATTATTATTATTAATTGTTGTTTGTATTGCGAAATTGACAATAACATCATCATAGTTTAAAAATATTAATAAGTTTTATTTAATATTAAGTATTGTTAACGAATTTAATCTCTTATCTGTCATGGTTTAGCGAAGATAATTATCCACTCTCTTTTGACAGGAAAAACTG